CAGCATCTACGCCCTATCACAGCAAACCCTAAACCCCAAACCCTGTACACCCTGAGTTCCGGCTTGCGCCTTCAACCCTAAACCCTAAACCCTATACCCTAAACCCTCCTATTCCCTAAACCCTAAGCCTTCTTAAACCAGAAGACGGAAACCCCCAGCCCGATTTGCAAAGTGGCCCCAGGTTCAGGGCTAAACCCTAAACCCGAAACCTTCTTTCGTGTGGGAGTTTTCGACTCTAGGCCCCCCCCCCCCCAAAGCCGAAGTGACCATTAAATAGGGCTCAGGTTTAAGGTTTTAGGGTTTTAGGGTTTTTGGGTTTTTGGGTTTTTGGGTTTAGGGTTTTAGGGTTTAGGGTTTAGGGTTTACTCTTCAAATTCATCAGCCCCTGAACCCCACATGCCTGGACATCGAGGTCGCCAAGGGTGGCATACCAGGGAAGGGCAACGAGTCCTTCAAGACCCACCGGCTTGGCACCCTAGTTGAGGGTTTAGGGTTTGGAGTTTAGGGTTTAGGGTTTAGGGTTTAGAGCTCATGGTTTTGTTTGGGTACTTTGGTCTTCGAGGTTTGCGCCCTAGAACCCTCCATAAACTCAACAGCCTGAAGCTCCAAACCCTAGCCCTTAACTTTAATCGTTTAGGGTGTAGGGTTTAAGGGCTTAGAATTTACTGTTTGGGTTTTAGGGCGCCACGACCAGAGCAATTCGGGCGTTTCAGGCTTTAGGGTTTTTTTTAAGGGTATTGGGTGGACTCTAGCTAGGGACGTGGTATCGGGTGGACTCTAAAGCCAGGGACGTATACCCTGCCCTTCGAAATGGGTACCTCACTTTCATTTAAACGCTACAAGCCCTAGCCCTAGACCCGAAACCTCAAAGATGATACCCCTGCTTCCCACCCCCCCCCAAAAAAAAAAGAAGTAATAATAAAAAGGAAGAAAAAACAAAAAAATAATGCAAAAAGCAATTAAAAAACACAAAATGGATAAATAGGCATATAGATAAATGAGCGGGGTATGGCACAAACCCCAACTAGGCCCCCCCCCCCCCCCCCTGCGGTGCTTGTTTCGGTCTTGGGGCCTTGGGGTTCTAACCCTAAACCCTAAACCCTAAACCCTTAACCCTTAACCCTTAACCCTTAACCCTTAACCCTTAACCCTTAAACCCTAAACCCTAAACCCCAAACCCAACGCTCAGGGTTGCATGTGTCCGGGCTGTACGCATCAGCGGGGAGCATGGGGGCTCAGTCCAATAGGCGCCCTACATCACGACAGCCCAGGGCCTAATCCCCATCTTGGGTTTAGGGTTTAGGGTTTAGGGTCTAGGGTTTAGGGTTTAGGGTTTCGGGTTTAGGGTTTGGGGTTTAGGGTTTAGGGTTTAGGGTTTGGCTTAATCCCCATCTTAGGGTTTAGGGTTTAGGGTTTAGGGTTTAGAGTCTGGAGGGTTTGGGTTCAGGGCTTAGGGTTGATTGTTTCGCCCTGAACAACCTTCTAAAGGCCAAAAACCAAATCCATATGGTGCCTGGGAGTTCTGACTACGTGCCTTCCTGGAGTAGGCTCTTATCTTATCTTTTTGGGCAGGGGTTCCCTCAGACTCCCTTCCCTAAGCCCAAAGCCTATACCCTAATCCCTAAACCCTAAACCCCTAAACCCCACACCCGTTTTATTCCTAGGTTACTCCTGGGTCTAGTGTCTCTGAGGAACAACGCGCCCTTCTTCTGCACCAAGGGCCAACCAGGCGCGCGCAAGTGCTTAAGGCACCTAAACTTTAAACCCTAAACCCGAAACCCTAAGCCCTATATGAACCCTAAACCCCAAGCACTAAACTTTAAACCCTAAACCGTAAACCCTAAACCGCATCTGCTACCTAAATACAAAACCCTGCAAGGTTTTAGGGCAGCCCTCATTCCCCTGCACCTGTTGAGGGGACCCTGAACCATAAGCCCTCCAGAGCCCGTAACCCTTCACAATCACAATTCAATATGCCCTAAGTTTAATGCCCTTAGGGTTTAGGGCGAAACCCTAAACCCTAAACCCTAAACCCGTTTTGGGGCTTAGATCCCGCGAGGCCGGGGGGGGGGGGGGGGGGGGAGAGGTAGATCCGGTAGGGACAGGCCATGAGACAGGCCATGAGCCCGCCGGTCATTCCAACCCTCTGGGGTTTAGGGCTTAGGGTTTAGGGTTTAGGGTTTAGGGTTTAGGGGTTTAGGGATTGAGGGGGTTGAAGGCTTAAGGTTCCTTTTGAGCATAAGATAAGGTCTAGCCTCCAAACTCTGCTGGGTAGGACCTTGGGACTTAGGTTTTAAGGGTTTAGGGTTTAGGGTTTAAGGGTTTAGGGTTTAGGGTTTAGGGTTTAGGGTTTAGGGCATGTTTGGGTGTAGAGGATCTACACAATCTAGGACAACTCGTCAGCGAGTTGTTTGCGCTATCCTTGTTTTGACTTAGTTCACAAAAAGACAAACAATCTCAAGTCTCCACAGCTCCCGAAAACCTAAGCCCTAAATCCCAACGCACCAAACGACGTGCGAAAGTCTCCGTCAGAGATCTTTGCGTGCCTCGCGCATGGATCGTCCGCAGGACCACTTGCATAAACCCACAGTATGATAAACACGCCGAATCATGCAGTCCTCTAACCTCTAACCTGTGACGTGTAGGTTGTGGTTAAGGAAGGGTTTAGGGTTTTTGATTTTAGGCTGTAAGGCTTATGGCTTGCTAGTTAGAGCCTGCAAGCCCTGACCTCTGTGACCCAGCTTCGCAAATGAGCAGGATAAAACCCTAAACTCTAAACCCCCGGAGCTTTGAATCAGAGGCCTTAAACCTGAAACGCTAAGCCCCAAACCCTAGATGCTAAACCCGACACCCCCCTGAGTCCCTACAAACCGCACACCTTGCCCTGTAGCCTAGGCTCGAGTTGAAGCCATGTACGATGAACATGGGCCCGGAAACCTCGAAAACTTACGTAAGAAAACAAGAGTCCTTGCAAGCCCTAAACCCTAAACCCTAAACCCTAAACCCTAAACCCTAAACCCTAAACCCTAAACCCTAAACCCTAAACCCTAAACCCTAAACCCTAAACCCAACAACGGACCAGAAAGCACGTGTTGTCATGATCGCGTTTCCAACAGAAGCTGATGTTGCTTCTGAAGCTAGTTTAGGGTTTAGGGTTTAGGGTTTAGGGTTTAGGATTTAGGGTTTAGGGTTTAGGGTTTAGGATATTTCCTGCAGACCATTGAAGTTAACATGTGATGCTCGGCTGGATTTAGATGCATGTAGAACACAGGACATGTCTAACAAGTGACATGCGCATGCTTTACTTCAAGGTTATGTTGAGCCCAACCGCATCAGTGATTGTTAAAAAAAAATATTCCTTCAACCCTACGAGTTTCCATACCCTGAGCCCTAACTCCTCATAGTATAACCCCGAAAAGGCCTAAACCCTAAACCCCCCAAGCCCTAAACCCCCCAAACCCTCAACCACCCAAATCCTAAACCCCAAACCCTCTGAGACCCGCATGAGGCAGAGGTCGATGGCTCGAGTTGGAGCTGAAAATCATCGCTGACGCCGGGTTGCCCAGTGCGCAACCGTCTAAGCCCCTAAAACCCTCAGTCCTCCAACGGGCTGCGGAGATTCCCGAAACCCTATAAACCCTAGCCCTAAACCCTAAACCCTAAATCCTAAACCCTAAACCCTAAACCCAAATTAAACCCCTTCAAGCCATGAAGCTGGTCGACTCCGACCCCCCCCCCCCCCCTGTTGCACACAAGATCCCCCGCAGCAACGTCCATCTAGGGTGTAGGGTTTGGGGTTTCGGGATTGTGTTTGATTTTGGGGTTTAGGGTTTAGGGTTTAGGGTGTAGGGTTTCGGGTTTAGGGTTTAGGGTTTAGGGTTTAGGGTCTAGGGTCTGAAACTGAGGTGGGGGCGCGCAAGCGTTGGCCATGCTGTTTAGGGTTTAGGGTTTAGGGTTTGGGGACACGAAGTTTATGTAGGGGGTTGAGAGGTTTAAGGGAGAATGAAGGGACCCTAAGCCCTCCTATGAGGGCCTATTCACCATTCTGCCATTCTCGGGTTGGGTTTAGGGTTTAGGGTTTAGGGTTTAGGGTTTAGGGTTTAGGCTTTAGGCTTTAGGCTTTAGGCTTTAGGGTTTAGGGTTTAGGGTCTAGGGGGGCTTCAGAGAAGTCAGAGTCAGGCGGAGAGGTTTCGGTTCTAGGGTTTCGGGATTAGGGCTTGGCGCCATAGGGTTTTGGATCATACGCTTCTGTGCTGGGGGCTGAATAAACAGAACCCTAAACCCTAAACCCTAAACCCTAAGCCCTGTTGAGAAGCCCACATGCCGTACAGTAGTTACCCGAAGCCTGGGTTTGACTTAGAGGGGCTAGAGGGCCTGGGATTCCTTGTGCCAAGCACCTAAGATTGGGTTCAGGGTTCAGGGTTTAGGGTTTAGGGTTTGGGGTTTAGGGTTTGGGGTTTTGGGTTTAGGGTTCAGGGTTCAGGGTTTAGGGTTCAAACCCACTACCGGACCTTTGGTGCTCAAGAGGTTGTGCGATTGGGTAGCCAGCTCCCTCACGCCTACTGGGTTCTTGTGCGCAACCCGAATCCCTAAACCCTAAACCATAAACCTTAAACCCTAAACCCACAATCTTGTGGTAATGCCATTTTGGTATCGTCCAAAAAAGGAGACCCCCGTGTATAGTTCCAAAATACTAAAGTCCTACGTATCGGAACCTCCCAAAAGGGCACCCGTTATCGGACCCCTCCTAAGCCCTAAGCACTAAACCCTAACTTCCTTAACTGCAACCAAGTCCTTGACGAAGGCAAGATGTTTCGGGGACCAGGGCTTGGGTATTGCGCTTGTGCTTTTAAGCTTATAAGTGTCGTTTGGGGTTGGGGGTTAGGGTTTAGGGTTTAGGGCTTGGGGCTTGGGGCTTGGGGTTTAGAGTTAGGGCTAGGTCTTGGGGTTTCGGGTTCTGGGGTGCGTCCGGCAGCGGCTGGGACGCGTTTGAACGGAACATGGCCATCCGGCAAAGCAGCAAGCTGCCAAGCAGCTCCATCAAGAATAAGCTGCGCAAGCACGCTCGCAGATACCATGGCAGGGCAAACAAGTCATGGGTGCTGCTAGGCTGGATTTAGGAAGTGGTGTCTTTCTGTCTGCTGGGTTCAGAAAAAACCCTAAACCCTAAACCCTAAACCCTAAACCCTAAACCCTAAACCCTAAACCCTAAACCCTAAACCCTAAACCCTAAACCCGAATTGAGCAGAACCTCTAAATGACATGGGGTAACGTGAAACTTGGTAGCCCACTGGTGCCCTTTTCCCTTTTTGTTGGTTCAAGGTTCCCTTATAAAGCAACCAACCCAAGAAAGGGCGCCCTTACTATTATTCAACATGGTTACTGGGCTACCCAGAACCTAGACATAGACCATACATCACCCATATTCTGCGTTACCCGAAGCCCTAAGCCCAAAACCTGCTTGTAGTTGTAGGCTATTCTACTCATATCCCTTAAAGGAGTCGTGAAAAACCTACAAAAAAGGTACTGCAGGTTTTGGGTTCCTAGAGTACAAAGTCGCACCCAGGATCAGCAAGTACTTGCAGGAATTGGATCGCTTCGACAGAGAAGATGTGCGAAAGCACGCGGCGCACGTGGCGTCGTGGATCGCCTATGACCCGAAACTAGGTAGGCTTTTGGGAGATTTTGCAGTTTCCCCTATCCCTAAACCCTAAACCGCCTAAACCCGCCTAAACCCTAAACCCTAAACCCTCAGCCGTAAGCCCTAAACCCTAATTAAACCCTAAACCCTACACCCCTAACCTTGGGTTTAAGAGGATCATATTGACGAAACATTTTTCAGAGCACTTCAAGGGCCAACCACGGAGACCTGCCAGCTCTTGTATACTCACTTAGCCAATAGTTGAGCTTTAAGCTTTTCGGGTTTCCTTATCTAGAAGGAATCATAAAGTTTCGCCCTTTTTCCCTCTGGCTGGAGGAGAAGTAAGTCTTGCCAAGTCTGCGTTCTGGTTCTTTAAATAAGAGCGACCTCAGCTACACAATCGGGGTTCTCATGTATCTCTCCACGAGGTTCACCATCAGCCCTGAACCTCGGTGGGTTCAGATAGGGAACCCCGACTGTGTAGCTGAGGTCCCTCTTATTAAAAAACCAGAACACAGACTTTACAAGACTTACTTCTCCTCCAGCCAGGGGGAAAAAGGCATTCCTTCTAAATACCCAAAACATGTAACTAAAGTTCAACTGTTGGCGAAGTAAGTCTACAATGTCCGTTCCCAGAAACAAGGAAAGGCCGTATTCCAAAGACGTGTTTGATCGAGCTCTTGCGGAAATACATCGCCAAATTGGGAGGTGGCCTCCTACCTGAACGTTTGGAAGTGCCTTGGGCACCACATGAACTCTAGCATTGTGGTCATGTATCCTATACTATTGCAATTCATCCCCATTATAGGGAGTATGCACCATAAACCCTACAAGCCCTACCTGGGACCCTATTTGCCGACAGTTTAGTAGTAAGTAGCCCCATTTAGTAGGTATAGCAGGTAAGCACTAAACACTTTTTAAGGTTCATTTGGTCCGTAAGGTGGTCCTCCCAGACGCGAAGACTGCGCTGCAGTCGGGCTTCACGATGGGAGAGATCAGCGAGGTCCCTTGGATACACCGTCCTAGGACCCAGAGCAGGCCCTTATTCCCTTTGGAAGGGTTTCTGGGGTTTCGGGTTTAGGGCTAGGACCCAGAGTAGGCCTTTGATTCCCTTTTTGTTCGGTTTAGTTTTCCATTATAGGGCACCCTTTCATTCCTACGCTATTTTTGGGTCTAGCCTAAACCCGAAACCTGATTCTACTTCGATCCCTGTTGTTATGTTTATGGACCGTAAGCCGTAACTATCCTTCTTAGGGCTCATATAGCATCTGGTTTAGGATTGAGGGTAAGGGTTTAGGGCTTATTGTTTAGGGGTTTAGGAGCCCAAAACCATATACCTCGAGGTCTGGAGACAGGCAGCGCACAAGCTGCAAAGGATTCTCGACAAGTTCCGCTGCTGCCGACCGCCAACAGACCAAGTGCTCGCTGTGGCCGCAACGCAGGAGAGTGCAGCAGATGATGTAGCCCCTTGCGGACTACATCACGATATGATTCATATAGTCCATCTGAGGACCTTAACCCTAAACCCTAATCCCTAAACCCTAAACCGGTTTTTGGTCCCTGGTCGTCTCCCAGGTTGTTGTGCCCGATGACGACGAACCTTCCCACGAAGACCCAGCAGCTCTGGGCGCGTCCAGCCAGCATCTGCAGCTCTGTCGAAGGATTAACCAGTGCCTTGGGGACCAAATGAGCCCTGAAATGTGGGTCATATACCCTGTACAACTACAATTCCCTTTTAAGGTATGTGAACCCTAAACCCTAAACCCTAAACCCTAAACCCTAAACACAGCTGCTATAGTTCCTATCAAGGTATATGAACCCTATGAACCTGTTTAGGGTTCACTGGGTCCCCAAGGTGGGGTTTCCTGGATGATGTGCAGAAGCTGGAGCGCCTCCGCCAAGCCGAGGAGGTCCTAAACCCTAAGCCCCAAACCCTAAACCCTAGCCCTAAACCCTAAACCCGAACCCTAAACCCTAAACCCTAAACCCTAAACCCTAAATCCTAAACCCTAGACCCTAGACCCTAAACCCTAAACCCTAAACCCTAACCCGGGAGGTAGCCAGGCGCCCATGGAGGAATCTCAGCGAGGTGGATCTGGCCGAGGTCGTCAACCTGGCGGCCACGGCTCTAGCAGCTCCGCGCAGAAAGGTGGGAGACTTCTCTATAAGATTCCCCTTCCCCCAAAAGAGAATGTGTAGGGTTTAGGGTTTAGGGTTTAGGGTTTAGGGTTTAGGGTTTAGCGTCTAGGATCTAGGGTTCTATACAAAGACCTCCTGACAGAAGGCGGAAACCAGAACAACCCCCAGGCGTTGGCGCAAGAAGAAGAGGCTGGAGAATCAGGCCAGGCATCGGCGTCCACAGACCCGGGTGCCAACCATGATCTGCAGAGACGGGTGCGGTCGCTGTTGCTTCGGGTGCTGCGCATGTGGCGGGCCAGCCAGTATGATTTCGGTGTGATTGAGCACGTGCTCGGTTTCGTCCATGTGAAGATCGACAAGTTTGAGGAGAAGGTTGGAAGCATTCAAGATGCTGCAGCTGGGAGGTGTTGGCAGGCCATCAAAGATGTAATTGATGAGCTGCAGGGCGTGGCTCGCGGTGCTTCCGGACTCCAGGCTTGCGAGGCCAAGAGACGCGAACGGCTCTTTAGACGGTTTCAGCGCCAAAGCGGGGTGCAAAACATTTGCTGGAAAAAGGAAATTGCGAGCTGGCGAGTGCAGCGGGTGGAAGCCGGCAAGCACAAGGCGGTCCACTTCCCCATCTCCAAGCACACGAAGGAGGGCCTCTCTGAGGAGGAGGCGGTGGCGGCCGCACTGGAGGAGGCCAAGGCGCACCGCGAGGAGCTGGTGCGCCAAGGCAAGCTGCAGCCTTCGAAGCCCAAAGCCACCGGTTCCATGGTCAGGGGCGTCAAATTCAACACAGGAGGAAGTTTTCGGGTCCAAATCACCAACCCACGCACCAAGAAGCGCCAAGGCGGCACCTTCAAGACGCTGGCGGAGGCCGAGGCCAAGGCGCAGGAGCTGGCCAAGGAGTGGGGCCTCCACGACGAGGAGGTGGCGGTGGAGCGGCTCTCGGAGCTCCCGCACTTCGAGCCGCTCGCGCCGGAGCCGGGAGTGAAGTGGAGGCGCGGTGCGCAGCATTGGCGAGCCCAGTGCCACGTCAACAGCAAGAATCGCAATTTCACCGTGAAGCCCAAAGACTATTCGGAGAAGGAGGTGGAGAAGGCCTGGAAGCAGGCGGTGGCCTGGCGCAAGCAGCAGGAGAAGGAGAGAGAGCAGGCCGAGCGAGCTCGAAAGCGCTAAGGGCCGCGAAGTTCGGGATTCACGTGGAAGTCGAGGTGGTACCCGGGAAGCTGCTCTAAGAGCTCCCACACTTGGACGCGTGAGGGCTCAAAGATCTCGGTGAAGGAGGTGGAGGAGGCGTAGAAGCAGGCGATGGCCTGGCGCGAGCAGCAGAAGGAGCAGCGCAAGGAGACAAAGCAGTGAGGAGAGGCACCTGCCCTGAGACGCGAACTGGAAGCTGAGTTTAGGCCCGTGTAGTCAGAATCGAAATTATATATCCCTAAACCCTAGTTACTAGCCATAATTTAAGCCTTGGCATCCTGATGCCAAGCCCAAACCCCAAACCGCTTTAATTCACCAGCATCCGCTGCGAGCGTCCCGCGAGCTGTGAGCTCTCACGCCTGGAAAGTTCAGGTTTGTTGGGTGTTTAGAGTTCAGGGTTTGGGGTTTAGGGTTTAGAGTTTTAGGGTTTTAGGGTTTAAGGGTTTAAGGGTTTAGGGGTTTAGTGTTTAGAGAGTCAGGGTTTGGGGCTTAGGGTTTAGAGTTTTTAGGGTTTGGGGTTTACAGGGTCTAGCGCACCTGTTTTGACCCTGAAACCCGCACCCTGAGCTTCGGATCATGGGTTCCCCTACTAATTACCCCTCTCTACACTACCCCCCCCCCCCCCCCGGTCTCGCCATAGTTACGGCAATTTAGGGATATTTAATTAAGCCTGGATAAACCCTAAACCCTAAACCCTAAACCCTAAATAGTAGGTAGTAGGAGAACCCATGATAAGATGGCGAGCTGATGTCCGGAAAGTTTGGGCTTGCTCAGGGGTTGGGAGGTCTCAGTGTTGGCCGAAAAGGGATTAGGGTTTAGGGTTTAGGGTTTAGGTTTTTGTTCGGGTTTGTTGAGTTCGGGTTTAGGGGATTAGGGGCTTCGTGGTTTAGGATTTGGGGTTTAATTGAGAGTTGGGGTTAGGACTTGGGGTTTGGTTACGATTCAGGGTGTAGGGGTTTAGGTTTAGGGCCCTCAAACCTAAACCTAAACCAATGTCCGTACAAGGGAATGGGGCTCCAGGCGGGCAGATTGTCGATGCTAGGCTCTCATCATCTCCGTAAGCTCGGGCCCACAGAGAAGGCAGATTGACGAGTTTAGTTGATTAGGGCTTGGGGCTTAGGGTTTCAGGGTTTAGGGTTATTAGGGCTTAGTGCTTAGGGCTTAGGGTTTTGGATCATAGGCTTCTTTGATTGGGTTTTGGGCTCAGGGCCCATGGTGTAGGGTTTTAACCCACTACCAGACCTTTGTGCTCAAGAGGTTGTGTGACTGGGTGAACAGCTCCCTCGCGCCTACTGGACTCTTGTGCAATCTTGTGCAAGGAACTTGCACGAAGTTATTCGTGATGAAGGATACGCTACTTTTTGCTAGATATCAATATTGTTTGATCCGAACACATGGCCATCCGGCCAAGCAGAAAGCTGTCAAGCAGCTCCATCAAGAAGCAGCTGTGGCGCAAGCACGCTCGCAGATACCATGCCCAGGCAAACAAGTCATGGGTGAGGCTGGACTGGATTTAGGAATTGATGTCTTTCTGACTTCTTTGGTTCAGGTTACTTTAAACCCTAAACCCTAAACCCTGGACCCTAAACTCGAAGCTGAACAGAGCTGCGATTCGTTTTAAGTGAGCTGAAGCCTGTGCGTAAGTAGCTGGAATCTCCAAAAGCAAATGGGGGAACGCATAACATAAGCCGTACATGACCCATATTCTGCCTACCCCGAAAGCCTAGCTTAAGAACCCCAAAACCTACGTGCTTGAAGGTTATTATATCCCTTTATAGGATTCTTCCAGAACCTACAAGAAAGGTAGTTTTTGGGGAATTCTTAAGGTACCAAAGTCTCACCCAGGATCGGCAAGTACTCGCAGGAACTGGATCGCTTCGACAACGAAGATGTGCGAAAGCATGCCGCGCATGTGGCGTCCTGGATCGCCTATGGCCCGCAACCTGCCAGGTCTGGTAGTCTTTTCACAGAGTGCTCGGACCGGCCCTTGTTCCCGTTGGTTAGGGTTTAGGGTTTAGGGTTTAGGGTTTAGGGTTTAGGGTTTAGGGTTTAGGGTTTAGGGTTTAGGGTTTAGGGTTTAGGGTTTAGGGTTTAGGGTTTAGGGTTTAGGGTTTAGGGTTTAGGGCGAAGACCCGGAGTAGACCCTTATTCCCCTTTTTCAGGGCAGGGGTTTCCCTTATAATCCCCTTAACAACAAAAAGGCTACCCTCTTTATTCCCAGGGTACTCCTGAGTCTAGTAGTTGAACTTTAAGCTTTTTGGGTTTTACTTCTTTAGAAGAAATGAAAAAGTTTAACCTTTTCTTCCGCCGTGGTTATTGGAGAGGTGAGTATAAGTTTCGGCAGAGGGCTGCGTCTTGTAAGGTCTACATTCGGGTTCTTCATAGGCAATTCAGCCACATAATCAGGGGTTGTCATGTCTCTCCACGAGGTTCGGGGCTAATAGTTTCCAGGTGTCCGTTCCCAGAACCAAGGAAAGCCCGTATTCCAAAGACGGCTGAGATCGAACTCTTGCAGAAATACATCGCCAAATTGAGAGGTGGCCTCCTACCTGAACGTTTGCAAGTGCCTTGGGGACCAAATGAACCCCAACATTGTGGTCATATATCCTATACTACTGCAATCAGTCCCTATCATAGGGGTACATGAATCATAAACCCGAAGCCCTAAGCCCCAAACCTTAAACCCTTTTAGGGTTCATTTCGTCCACAAGGTGGTCCTACCAGACGCGAAGACTGCGCTGCAGTCGGCCTTCACGATAGGAGAGGTCAGCGAGGTCCCTTGGATAAACCATTCCCTTTGTAAGGGTGTCTGGGGTTTAGGGTTTAGGGTTTAGGGCTAGGACCCAAAGAGTAGGCCCCCCTTCCCTTTTTTGTTGAGTTTAGGTTCCCCGTAAGCCCCGCTAAACCAAAAAATCACGCTTGGGTCTGGCCTAATCCCGAAACCTGGTTTAGGGTTTAGGGTTTAGGGGATTGTGACCATACTTCTTCGAGCTCATGCAGCATGTAGGAGCCCCAAGACCCTATACCCCGAGGTCTGGAGACAGGCAGCGCACAAGCTGCAAAGGATTCTCGACAAGTTCCGCTGCTGCCGGCCGCCAGCAGACCAAGTGCTCGCCGTGGCCGCAACGCACGAGAGTGCAGCAGAGGATGTAGCCCCTTGGGGACTACATCACGATCTGATCCATATAGTCCATCTTAGGACCCTAAACCCGAATCCCTAAACCCTAAACCCTAAACCGGTTTTTGGTCTCTGGTCGTCTCCCAGGTTGTTGTGCCCGATGACGACGAACCTTCCCACGAAGACCCAGCATCTCTGGGCGCGTCCAGCCAGCATCTGCAGCTCTGTCGAAGGATTAACCAGTGCCTTGGGGACCAAATGAGCCCTGAAATGTGGGTCATAACCCTGTACAACTACAATTCCTATCAAGGTATCTAATCCCTAAACCCTCAAACCCAAACCCTAAACAGTGCTGTAGTTCCTATGACCCATATACATCTTTTTAGGGTTCACTGGGTCCCCAAGGTGGGGTTTCCTGGATGATGTGCAGAAGCTGGAGCGCCTCCGCCAAGCTGAGGAGGTTCTAAACCCTAGACCCCAAACCCTAAACCCTAAGCCCTAAGCCCTAAGCCCTAAACCTTAAACCCTAAACCCTAAACCCTAAACCCTAAACCCTAAATTTAAGAGCCTCCGGCTCAAGCCGCCGACCCCGCCAGAGCATAGTTGAAAGGTCTAAACCCGCTCGTCGGCTCGCGTGACCAAACAAAGAAAGGGGGGTGCGAAGAAAGGTCGGGGGGGTAGGGGGGGGGGGGGGGGGGGGGGGGGGGCCGTTTTGGGGGGGTAAGGAGGGAGAGGGAGGTTTTCACCTCCAAACACGCCGCCAGGGTCGGCGGACCCTAAACCCTAAACCCTACCCCTAAACCCCAAACCCTAATCCCTAATCCCTGAACCCTAACCCCGGCAGGTAGCCAGGCGCCCGTGGAGGAACCTCACCGAGGTGGATCTGGCCGAGGTCGTCAACATGGCGGCCACGGCTCTTGCAGCTCCACGCAGAAAGGTGGGAGACTTCTCTATAGGATACCCCCAAAATAGAAATATAGGGTTTAGGGTTTAGCGTTTAGGGTTTAGGGTTTCGGGCTTAGGCCTCCTGACAGAAGGCGGAAACCAGAACAACCCCCAGGCGTTGGCGCAAGAAGAAGAGGCTGGAGAATCAGGCCAGGCAACGGCGTCCACAGACACTGGTGCTAAGCAAGATGTACAGAGACGGGTGCGGTCGCTGTTACTTCGGGCGCTGCGCATGTGGCGGACCAGCCACTATGATTTCGGTCCGATTGAGCATGTGCTCGGTTTCGTCCATGTGAAGATCGACAAGTTTGAAGAGAAGGTCGGAAACATTCAAGATGCTGCAGCTGGGAGGTCTTGGCAGGCCATCAAAGATGTAATCGATGAGCTGCTGCAGGGCGTTGCTCATTGTGCTTCCGGACACCAGGCGTGCGAGGACAAGAGACGCGAACAGCTCCGGAGACGGTTTCAGCGCCAGAGCGGGGTGCAAAACATTTTCTGGCAAAAACACATTTCGAGCTGGCGAGTGGAGTGGCGGGAAGCCGGCAAGCGGAAGGGGCTCCACTTACCCATTTCCACGCACATAGCGGAGGGCCTCTCTGAGGAGGAGGCGGTGGCGGCCGCACTGGAAAAGGCCAAGCAGCACCGCGAGGAGCTGGTGCTCCAGGGCAAGCTGAAGCCCCCGAAGCCCAAAGCTACAGGTTCCACGGTGAGGGGCATCAAATACAACGCAGCAGGAAACTTTCGGGTACAACTCACCAACCCACGCACCAAGAAGCGCGAAAATGGGGGCACCTTCAAGACGCTGGTGGAAGCCGAGACCAAGGCGCAGGAGCTGGCCAAGAAGTGGGGCCTGCGCGATGAGGAGGCGCAGCGGCTCTCGGATCTCCCGCACTTCGCGCCACTCGGGCCGCAGCTG